GTGTAGTCTGGGAAGCAAAGATGGTGTGAATGATTAGAAAGTAACAGACTTTTGTCCGTATTATTTTAAGAAATGTCTGAATAGCAGCTATTATTCACAAGAAAACCACAACAGCTGTTCTGCACATCTTCCAGAGAATTCTGTTGTTTTTTTTGTTTTGTTTTTTAATTAAGAAACATAGTAATGCTTTTTTTCCCCACTGGGTATAATTTCAAAAGAATGTTCTGACATGTTGGACTTATCTGGATTCAGACAGATTATTTTTTCTCTTTACATCTTTGTGTAGTTTCSTCAGACTTCACAGCAGATGAAAGGATGGAGCTTGAGAGCATCAAAATGTACAAGAAAGACCTCCTGGATGACATCCAGGTAACATCTGCACCCAGATTTTATACCAGCTTCAAAATAAAAGTATTGTAGTGCCTCAGAGMTCAAAGTTTCTTTGTGATTTGAATGTTACAAAAACAAATGTTAAAGGTGACATTGTCCTTCCCTGTCCAGAAGTTAAAGACGGAGATAGACAACATCATGGCAGAAATCCTCAGTTTTGATTTTGCAGAAGAAAGGTGGGTTTTAGCCTGGGGAAAAACCCTGCACCTTTTTTWWTTTTWWTTTTTTTGTCACAAACCACWTTTTTCCTTTTTTTATGAATCACCTCAGAAAAATGCTTCTGTAGAAATGCCACAGCTGTTTCAGTTTCATAGTGGATTTCCAACAATTTAACTCCCTCTTTTTTAACAATTTAAACTCTCTTATTTATATTCCAGGATAAAAGAAAAAAAAGTTATGTATTTTTTGACTTGTATCCAAGTCAGTTGAGAACACATTCTCATTTTAAATAAGAACCTGGCCAAGCGGCAACGGAGGAAAAAAAATGTGTCAAACAGCGGTAGAATAACCTGAACACAACAACCATCATGAAATCAACAACAGCTAAACAGATAAGAAGAACAACATGTGAAAATAAGATAACAAAAAACACATGTGGTGATCATGAAGTGGTGATCGCACTGAACTTTTAAAAGATGAAAATGGGATAAAAGAGGTGAGCTTCAGAATCAATTGTGAATGTTTCCAATCATTGGCAACAAAAAACTGAAATGATGAATGGCTAAACGAAGTGCGCGCTTCAATGACACGTATAGATGCTGGAACAGAGAGCACGAATGTTACTGTGAATGTTGAGTATTGATCAGAGGTAGGATGGGATTTTACCAATTAGGGTTTTATAGATGGACCAAAACCAGAGCGTTTGTCTGTAAAGGGAAGGCCAGTTCAYCAGGGAATACAAAGTTACTGAAAATTATCTGTCTGAACAGTGAAAACCTGTCCCTGAAACCAACTACTGTTAAAAACAAGGAATAGCGCTAAAACTGAATTTTCAGCTAAAAGAAACAAATATGAAATTAGTTTTTAAAATGACTTTTAGCAGGAATAAACCAACTGCCACATTATAAGCATAAGCAACCGAGTCAGTTTGGAAGACTGTTATCAATGATCACCATGTAATATTTTACTAAAAGATGGGGGAAAACGTGTTGTCACCTCTGAAAAGTTTTGTTTTTCTTTAGTCTCTATRAGGTCTCCTAAAATAAAGAACAAATTTGGTCACATGGTCAGCTGATTGGTCAGAAATGGTTGCTTCTCTTTTTTTATTTATTTATGGCAAACTAAACCGACCACTATAGCGGACATTATGAAAACGTCTCTGTGGAAAAAGAACCAACAAAAGAGAAGCTGACGTCACTTAAACATCTTCAGTGAGAAAAACATCCTGTGGTGTAAACTCCAACGCAGCTGACTTTTCGCACACAGAAAACTAAAGTCGTAGGACAAACCCAACTGAATAAATAAATAAATAAATAAATAAATAAATAAATAAATAAATAAATAAATAAATAAATAAATAAATAAATAAATAAATAAATAAATAAATAAATAAATAAATAACAAGTCAGATTAGACAAGTGCTTTTTAGCTGATCACAAGCTAAAGGCTGTGTCATTCTGCATATCTAATTTAACTTCCTTATGGATGTTGTTTCATAATGAGAATCAAACTTGCCAATTTCTTCTTTTCAAATCAATTATTATAAACATTCACATCAAAAGGCACATTTTAAAAATTTTGTAATATCTAGGTTTTTATACAAACAAAGCTTTTATTGATACGCTTCATAATGTCACAAATTAGCTGAAAATCTAGATTTATATTTCATTTTTTTTCCCTGACTTTGAATTCTCCCTGACTGTATTCAGGWGATTTAATGTCTCGGAGCCTTATTTAATGAAACTCTCTGTAATCAAATCCTTTTCTTCAATTATGCGTTGCAGCAAAACCGTTGAGAAGAACAAACAGTTTTGTAAYGGGAAGAAGAAGTTTAACATGGACCCCAAAAAGGTGAGCGAGGACATCCTTTTCTTTGTCTCTCTGTGGGCTGATGGGTTGCAGCAGACCAAAAGYGTGTTCTTAAAATATGAGGCAAGAGGTTGGGTCTTATATTTGTACTTTACTGTCATTTCTTCTCAACTTGTTCTTGTTGCAAGTCTGTGAACTTGCGCTGACACAGGCCCACAGCAGTGGTTTTACACACATGTTGGTTACATCTCTGTATCAAGAGCTGCTCTTCATGATAATGGTTAAAGCCCAGTGTTAAAGTCCTGACAATGAAAATGTTGCATCTGAAGAAAACATCTGGGAGTGAAGATGAGAAGTGATTTGTGTGAAGGCATGCCAGTGTATTTTTAAACTCAGACCTTCCTTTCAAAATCCTGTGTTGCGACAGAAAGAGGAAGAGAAATTAGATTTAAGGAATTGGGATTGTGGAAACTGCACAYTTTTGTTTTAGCAACATCAGATGAGATCATCATGAACTCAACATGCAGCATTGAGGGCAATCATCAGGAAAGTGYGAGCCTGATGTCGGGGTTGTTCAAAGCATTGGTTTTCATCATTTCACCACTGATGTGAAAACCCCCAGAGCCAAAAGTTACCAAGAACACACTGCATTCATCTGCTGAATCTGCAAACTTTAACCACTGGCTAAATTTGAACCAAGGGCTGACACTTGAAGGCACTTTAAACCCGAACCCTAAATTTACCGCCTTCATGTGCAATACTGAAAAAAAAAAAGACTTCCTGCTAATGCTAGTTATTTTTGACAGGGTATTAATTACTTGGTGGAGAACAAACTGCTCAATGGAAGTGCTCAGTCCATTGCTGAGTTTCTCTACAAGGAGGAGGGACTCAACAAGACAGCCATYGGAGAATTCCTTGGAGAAAGGTGAGGAGAGAGTGGACACACTGGGGAGAGGAAGAGGGGGGAAGGTGGAGGATGGAACAACAGAAAATAAGGAGAGAAGAGGAAAAAAGAGATGATGGTTTAGAAAAGCAGAGTAAAATTAATAATGAGTTTATATATATTTAAGCAGTGCAACAATACATGTACCAGTATCGAACCATACCAAACAGAGCTTTAGGTTCAATACACACTTGTATCGAACAATACAGATTTTAAAAATTTACTTTATCAACTTGTCTTCTGAAGATGCTCTGTGTTAAAGGATCAGTGGATCTGTGTTCGACTACTCCACCTAGGCTGCATTTTTGAGCGCAGATCCGCAGATCCTTCTGCTGTTTCAGCAACATTTAATTAAAAAACTGTACTTTTGAGGTTAAACAAATGTTCATAAT